TTCCCGTCCTTGTACCAGGTGGTGACACCGGCGGTCCCCGAGCCCTGGCAGGTCAGTGTCACCCGGTCCCACAGCACTGCCGGCCTCCAGGGGGGCTCCACGAGGAGCTGGGTGGTCTGGGCACCTGTGGGTGACAGGGGACACCAGCGTGCCAGGGCCACCACGGGGCTGGGGACAGCGGGGTGGGGACATGGCATCCCCCGAGGACTCACCAGCGAGGCCGAGGGTCTGGGCTGGAAGGGAGAAGGGACAGGGTTGGGTGGGGGTGGCACCGTGGGGACAGTGTCACTGAAGGCACAGGGTTTGGGGGCAGTTCCCAAAGTGTCCCCGTGGGGAGAACTTTCAGTTCTTGTGGGAAAGTGCGTGGGGATGGTCCCCAGAAGATTTGCGAGGCTGGGGACATGTCTGTGTCACAGCCACCCCTGCACCACATCCCAGTGGCACGGATGCCTTGGGAACAGGGACACCGAGGCCACCCTGGGCTGAGGCAGAACATGGGGACACTGTGCACACCCCGGGCACCAGGACACCACGGACACAGCCCATGATGGCCCAGGTCACCCCCACCAGCTCCTCATCCCATCCCCATGGCCACATCCTCACCCCTCTTGTCCCCTTCTGTCCCTGCATCCCAGTTCCCTTGTCCCTGTGCCCAGAGCTTCCTGAGCCCAAAGGTGCCAGTCCCCACATTCCTGTCCCCACATCCCCATCCACAAATTCCTGCCCCCTCTTCCTGTCCCCAAAGCTACCCGACATCCCCAGTCACAGCAAGCTCCACTGTGGGCAACAGGGACTGGCACTGCTGGCCTTGGGGACCTCAGGGGACCCCGCAGCCCCCCTGTGCCCCCTCCCCACCGGTCTCTGCCTCACCAGGGCCCATCCCTGGGCTGTCAGGCCTGTGCCCGGGGCACTCACCCCACAGGAGCAGTGCCACCTTCCCGGCCATCCCGGTGTCCCCAGCCATGTGGACTGGCTGTCCCTGGCTGCTGTGGCCACCGCTCCCCTGGCTGGCGGCTCTTCGGATGAAGGGGAAGGAAGCGAGGTCACGTCTCGTCCCCACGTGGGGGTGGCCCTTGGTGGAGGCAGGGTGGCCACAAGCTGGGCACAGGCTGTGGGCAGGGTGGGGACAGGGTGGGGACAAGGCTGGGTGATGCACAGTGCGACATGGGGTCCCAGGAGTGGGGGGCTCAGATGGTTTAGGTAGCCAGGGATGGGTGTCCAGGGGAATTGGGGATCCTGTGGGAAGAGGGGCGATCCCTGGAGACTCAAAGTCCCTGGGAAAGGGGATTTCAGGGGATGGAATAAACAGCAGAGTGTTCCTTGGGAATGGGCTCCTGGGCCCTGGAGATCCTGTGGAATGTGAGTGCTGGGATTCGTGTTCGCTGGCAAGGCGGCACACAAGGATTGGGGGTCCCGTGACTTCATTTCCAGGGGAATGGAAGTCCCAGGGATGGGCAGTGGCTGGATAAATCCGTGGGTCTCAGCTTTTTCCTTGGGTGCCTCATATTTTGGGGTGACCCTGAGCCCAGCACAGCCCCCACCCTGCCAGGGCTGTCCTGAGAGGCTCTGGGTCTGTGCCCCACACACCCCTAGGTTTTTTTCTGTCCCCCCCATTTCCTGGCTCAGTGATCTCATGCAACACTTGTTGCCCAATTCGTTCAGACACAGTCACACATCCATCGGATAAAGGCAATAAATCTTTTCCCACAGCATTTTTTTCTCAATAAAAGACAAATTCAGCAAAAATCAAACTCTGCTCAAATAAAAAAATCAAAACGATAAAATGCTCTGGTTTATAGAATATTTTCAGTTGCTCCCCCAGCAAGTCGCTCACAATAAAAACACAAGCAAATCCCAAAGAAATGAGACCTTTTTGGTTCCCTTTAGGAGCTCCTTGGTGCATTCCACAGCAGCATTTGCTTGTGGATAGCACAGAGTGTGGAATCTCCCTGAGTGTCCAACAGCTCCTTGGGATTGTTTCCTGCCTGCTGGGCAGCAACCCAGCCCATGAGGAAGCCTTTTGTGGGGGCATATTTAGGAATTATTCCCATTTCTCTCACCCTGGAACTCAATTGGCTTCCTATGGATTCTCCTCCCAAAGGGGAGAAGCTCTGTCCATCCTTGGGACAGTGCCCTGGAATCTGTGGAAATGCCCGTGTGTGCCTCAGGGTCTGATTCTCTGGTAAATCCACTCCAGCCTGCCCTGAATTACCCTGCCTGGGCATTCTCTGCTCCTGCTGTGGCATCCCTGTTCCCCAGACCCTCCTGAGCAGCCCCTGCTCAGTATTTCCACACTTTTTCCTCTCTTCTGGTGTGCATATCCAGAACACCAACATTCTTTCTGGGAGGTTCCAAAGGGCTGCAGGTTTTGTTCAAGAAGGAGGGTCCAGGTCAGGTTGTTGAGCAGATTGGGGTGGGATTTGCAGCAGTTCTGGGGCTGTCTCAGCAACTTGGAAAGAGGGAAGAAATGATGAATTGTTGCATTTTCAGACTGGTTCCATCTCAGTTGCCCGTGCAGGAGAAGTTTCCAGCCAGCCCTGCCCTGAAAACCATCAAAGGCCCTCGCAGAGCCACTGCTTGGGATCCCTTTGAGTTTTGTGGTTTTTGCAGGGCTGAACAAACCACAGGCAGGCCATTTCCTCATACACAATTCTCACTTCTGCAGCAGCTCCACAGACCCAGAGCCCCTCAGAATCTGCCTGGGGTGACCCCCAGGCTTGTGGGGGCTGTGCTGGGCTTGGGGCCACCTCAAATTATGAGGCACCCAGGGAAGGAGCTGAGACCTCTGTGCCCACCCAGCCACTGCCCATCCCTGGGACTTCCATTCCCCTGGAAATGAAGTCATGGGACCCCCATTCCTCATGTCCCACCTTAGCTGGTACCACGAATCCCAGTACTCACATTCCACAGGATCTCCAGGGACCAGGACCTCATTCCCAGGGAACACTCTGCTGTTCATTCCATGTCCTGAAATCCCCTTTCCCAGGGACTTTGAGTCTCCAGGGACCCCCCATTCCCACAGGATCCCCAATTCCCCTGGACACCCATCCCTGGCTACCTAAACGATCTGAGCCCCCACATTCTGGGACCCCATGTCGCACCGTGCATCACGCAGCCTTGTCCCCACCCTGTCCCCACCCTGCCCACAGCCTGTGCCCAGCTTGTGGCCACCCTGCCCCCACCAAGGGCCACCCCCATGTGGGGGCGAGACGTGACTTCGCTTCCTTCCCCTTCATCCGAAGAGCCGCCAGCCAGGGGAGCGGTGGCCACAGCAGCCAGGGACAGCCAGTCCACATGGCTGGGGACACCGGGATGGCCGGGAAGGTGGCACTGCTCCTGTGGGGTGAGTACCCCAGCACGGGCCTGACAGCCCAGGGATGGGACCTGGTGAGGCAGAGACCGGTGGGGAGGGGGCACAGGGGGGCTGCGGGGTCCCCTGAGGTCCCCAAGGCCAGCAGTGCCAGTCCCTGTTGCCCAC